CTCATAATAAATAAATGATTAAAAAGCTTGTTTTAATCATCTCCTATTATACCACAAATTAATACTTAAGTTTTTCCAATCATGATACCAGAGTGTACAACAACAATGTTTTATAATTTTGTTAATTATTATCTATAATTATTTATATATTAATTATTAAAATTTTATGTTTTTCCAATTTTAAAATAGAAACATAACAAACATAACAAGAACTTTAATAAAACTATTGAGTAAATATATAACTTTTAATTAAACCTAATATACAGTTAATATTTTTACAATATTTAAAATCACATTTTTTTTTTTAAATCATAAAAAATCTCGAAAGACAATATAAAAACTGTAATTCGCCACAAAATTTAAAATGTTGCCGTTATTCCTTTGAAGAAATATTGCCACTGTACTTAGCAACATTTTGCTAATTCAATATGTCTTTAGGATTGTATAGTTCAAAACATAGCAACAATTTTGTTGCTAAAAAAGAATGTAGATGTTGAGACTTATTTTTTCGTCTACACATTTTTAATGCGTACATATGTGTGCTGCTGTAAAGTTCAAACTAAAATTTTTAATCGTCTGTCTTTCTTAAAATGCATTTTAAATATTTAAAAGTTCACTAAATTTAATTGTTTACTTATAACAACAGCTCAAATGTTTACAAAACAAAAGAAATGTACTGTCAGTAACCCTGACTTGCTTTATTGCATATTTCCTCCATTGCCAAGAGTGATCAGAGGGCGTTATCGTGCACTTGCTTTGTTGTACAGTTCTCCCATTGCTAGAGTGACCAGAGGGAGTTAACGACTTGAAGCAATTAATTTGCAAGATTTTGTATTTAGCAGAAATTTATGGAAGTACGAAACGGAAAAACTGACTATATTGTGTCTTGTAGACCTTTTTATGTTGTATCAAGCTTTTTTAGACTAAGCGGATTTGCATCGCGTCTCATAACTAAAAATCGCCATTATCTATCACGTGTAGCATAAGAATGTATGTAATACAGTAAATTCAATAAATGCCATTTGAGCGATTAGTGCGTTGAAAAATCAGCAGTTTGATTTAAAAAGTCTGATTTTGATAGTTAAGTCGTTTGCGAGTCCGATTAATTATGCACATATGGTAAATATTTTATATTCATAAAAAAATTTAATATTATCGTTGATGAACTTATGATTTAAGACGAGTTTAACACGAGTGCAAACATATAATGGCAGTCATATTGATATCTGTTATCCTTTTCAGTATTTGATAAAGAAAAACAGTACAATTAAGAAGAAAAATATGTATACTACTTGTATCTAAAATATAATTATATTGGTAAAATGTGTTCATATACATACATATTCATTGTTTTCAAAATAAGAAAATGATTCCATCAAACGGTCATTAAAATAAACATAATTTATATTTTTTACTTTTTAAATGAATTTAAAAATACAAGTACATAACAAAACAAAAAGTTCAAAAAGTAAATAAAAATTTAAATTTACTTACCCTGAGAATAAACACCTAATATATATTTATGAACATGCATCCCATTATAAGTTAAAGAAAATTTCTAACTATTGTTTTTTATTCACAATTAATTTTTATCTTTACAAAATTTGTTCAAAATTTATTAAAGTTTTTATTATAATTTATACACTTGCACACATTTTCACTCAAAAATAACAATAAATAAAAAATTCATTGAATATTCAAAAAAATCTTCTTGAAAATTTACTAAAATTAATCAATTATTAATTTAACTTTTTATCAAAACAGTAACAAATTTGCCAGCACAACAACAATTTTGTATTCCTTCTTATCAAAGCAAAGCTATTGAACAGTATTTCTTTGTTTTGTTTTCACCACATTTTTACCCTTTTAACGGAAAATTTTCAACACTTTTGTATTATGCACTTGTCATTGATATTCTTTGCCGTTAGGAATCGTCGTAATCACGTTAACTGACGACATTAGAAACCATTTACTGATTTCTTTTTGATGCTATTTTTTTGATGATATTTTAATTTATTAGTTTATTATTGCTTTAATTAAATATTAATACTACAATTTTATAAATATTTATAAAAAATATGCAACTTAATAATAATATAAACTTTGTGCGTAGTTATTGAATTTCATTTTGTTGTTATTACACTTTTCCAAATAATAAACGGTTTTTTATTTATATTTTTGCAATATAATTTAAAAAACGTTCAACTTAAGTTATGAATTCTATATAAAGTATACTTAAAACAACATTTTTAAAATAAATATTAAAAATAATAAATTATTAATTTAGCAACTACGAACTCCGATTCGCGATCACATCGAACTGACATGCAAATGGAACTAACTTCGCTCTTATGTTGAAACTTCTGTCAAGTGCAGATGTGTATGCAATTCCTTCTTTAAACATACCAAGACGATGGAGATTAAGTTCTTATAACTTAATTCTTGAAAACTATTTTTTGTGTACATATTTCTCCGTAAAAAAATAATATTTTTTAATATATTTAATTTAAATACTATTATAACTAAAATTATATAAATAATTTAATTTGTTTAAAAAAAATCGTCTACAAATGCACGCATTTGAAATGTATATATACATAGTTGAAACAATTTAACGCAACATTTACGATTAATTTCAGCAACAAATTTACTTATGCTATTAATCACACAAATTTAATATTAAAAACAATGTTAAATTGTATTGCTTTGTCTCTGTCAATAACATATTGATTTAACTAAATGCTGTTAACCATATGTGCGCAATGTTGATAAACATAAATAAAATGCAGCTTTTAAACTTGTGCTGCGAATGACAATTTTATTCATTTAAAATTTTGATGTCTTTTTTATATATCATGTATAAATTATTATTAAAAGTTTAGTATTTTAATGTAAAAACTAATTAAAAGCTAATAGTTTTATTTTAATAAAATAACACTACGCTTTTTATGCGCTCTTATAAGAACACATCTTTGAATACAATTAAGTTTTATGTTGTTTAACACTTTATTTATCACGATATTGACAACAAAAACCCATTGTTCATGGTTAATTATATTTAATATATATGTATATATGGTATATATGTCTCATATTCGCCGATCATTATATTTATTTATTTACGCATCTGAGGCAAATTATATTACGTTTTGTGTTAAAAGAAAATATTTGTTGTTAATGAGCTTCAGTGCTTAAGTTAGTTATAGGACTTATTTATAAAATGGGTTTTGAACTGGTTCAAATAGAGTTTAGAACAGGTATGTAGTTATACAAAAACTTAAATAAAACATAAGTTTAGTCATACATGTAACTAAACCTGGCAGAATATATTATCATCATTTATTTATCATTATAATATTAATAATAATAGTTAATATTATAATCTATTGTAATTAACATATTCCGATATTATAAAGTTGTATAACGTATATGCACAGACACAATGATGTATCCTGGCCTAGCTGCTTGAAACTTTCATCCTACATTATATCTGATATTATATCTTTTCTATTTCTATTTACTTCTAGCATGAAGAGTTTAATTTGAACTTGATCGTGACTGAATTTAAAATAAATATATGTGGAATGTTTGACTTAAACCGGAAGACGGTGTTTAACATTTTCCAGACTACTCTTATGCATATGATGATATTACTACAATTCGATTATATAATAAAACCTTAATATAGTGTAATGTGTATATTTATGTAAAACAAAATTTAATATATTTTAACTAATAATTATTTATAAAGTGTAGAATAGTGTATAAATTTGAGAATATTAAAATGATAAATGTAAAAATAACACGATGAAAAACAATTGGGTCTATTTAAGATATTGTAAGGAGTGAAATAATATATTTTATCAAGTTATAAAGATTTCAAAAAGTAGTGAACTACAACAACAAAAATTCTTCTTATTTTATTTTATTTTAATTAACTGTTTTTTTTTTTGGCTGACCATACAGCTGTTTCGAGTATTGCCTTAATATTTATTTAGTTATAACATATATAAAAATCAATATATTATTATTTTATTATTAAAAATATAAAAATTAAGAAATATCACTTTTAAAAATTTTTTCACTGTGAATAAATTTGTATAAAGTACAATACTTAATATAAGTTAACAAAGTCAAACTTTAAAGGTATTAAAATAGACAATGGTAAATCGAAATAAAGATAATAACAAGAGTTAAATAATTTCAATACTTTTTTTGTTTCTGTAAATTATATTGTTGTCAAGTATGTCGCCAAATATATATCACTAAATATATATACAAACATTAGTTAAGTTTAATAGTTCTTCCAAATGCCATGAATTGAAAATGTCACATTTGAAACGTCCTGCCGTATGTAAGCCCTCGCTAATCGTGTACAGCAGGTGCTATAAGTGTTTTCTAGTTCGAATCACACCGCCAAAAACCAAACCTGGTATTATCGTACGTTTTCTCTCTTAAGTGCCGTTCAAACAGTTTTTCCGCTGAACCATAGTTTTTCTTACTCCCGACATGACCAAGCAAACACTGTGGGTGAATGTACATTCGCTGCATAACATCGAGAAAAAATGATTATAGTTCGTGATTTTTTCGGGTGTGATAGTCGAATCAATTTGTAGAGGATTGCGTCATACAAATATATATGTGGAATTAGATCACAACATATTAGTAACAGTAGAGCCGAGTAACACAAGAGTAACTCTTCGTCTGATCTCTTAGTGAACATAATATTAGTAGACTGTAAGTTAATATATTATACTGTAAACAGTACATAATGTAATTCTTAATTTAAAAAATAAGTAAATTAATCATAACGTGTTATTGTTATTAGAGTTTCGTGAAGAGTAAAATTAATATGTATGTTACCCGCCCAAAAAAAGTTTACCTAAAAGAAATCAGTTCATTTTTTGTGACTACAAAAAATTACATCAAATATTCCTTGAATATTTAAAAATTTGATTTTGTGTAAGTGTTATATATTTCATGAATAAAATCATTTCAAACTATTATTTTGTTGTTGAGTTTCAGATATTTTGTTCTATAAGCGATCCCAATTTTCACAATTATTATTTAATATAGTCAATTTGATTTCACCGAAGCAGAATGCCACGTACTGAGCCTATTCATCAACTTGATGCCATCGGTTGTCTTGACAAAAACACCATAAAATCTGTTGGCGAATATTTCGCTTCTAAACTAAATAATAAGAATTTTCGGTAAGTATCTTCATGTAGTAATTATAATATAAATATTTTACTTGTTGCCTTCATAGGAAGCTTCCTGATGAGTATGAAATTGATCAGTCACCCGACGTATTCTACTTGAAATGCGCTCGTGAGCACAATTTATTGCTTCAGGAGCAAATGGAAAGAATTGCTGAGAGCAAGAAACTGGAGATTCTTAATGTAAATCGCGAAATAGAACTCTGTAAGCAGCAAATCAAATTACGAGAAAAATTCGTTGAATACTCAAAAATACTAAAGGAAGTTAAGGATAAGGGTGAGGCTGCTAAGGTCACCATCGCAAATGAAATAAATGATCTAGAGAGCGCAAGCGCTAAAGTAAAGTTCTGTAAGCTTCACATGGATGCATTAAAAATGTTTAAAACCCAATTCCAAAAAACCGTTAATGATTATGAAGTTTACGATGATTTCATGAATGATTTTATTAAAAGTAATCCCGTATATGAAACACCTGATCATTTTATTGCTGGCATGGATGCACTCCGTATGTTAACTTTGATTAACATTTCAAATTCCTATATTACTTTCCTATATTGTAAGTCTGTGCAATTTATATTTTCAGTTATGGCTTACGTTGAGATGAACGATATGAATAATGGATTGGAGGAGAAATTCATAATGATGAAAAATGAATTAATGCAAACGACTCGAGAAGCAGCATCTCGTGTATTGAGAATGAAAAATGAGTTGGAGTTGTTCCAGCGTGCTTATATTGTTGTAAGAAACGAGGTGCAAGAATTGGAGGAAAAACTTAAAAGATCCAAACATGTAGTTATGCAGAAAGATCTAGAGAATCGAATGATGGAACAAGGCCTTTATAATTTAGGTGAAATGTTATGTAAACGTAGAAGTAAGTAATGTAAAATAATAGTGTTTAGCTGTCTTAAATATAAGAACATGTTTATTATAGATATAAGCGTGGAATTTCGTAAAAATGAAGTTGACAAAATTTGCAAATTTATCAAAACTGAAGTTGAGGTGCTTAGAGGAACTTACAATATCATAAAACACTTGGAGAAAGATTATAAAAAATGATGTAACATAATATATATATTTTTTATTTTTCTACAAAATTTCTAATAAATGGAAGTATTAGTGTAAAGATACTTTACTGAGTTCGAAAAGTTTTTGGGTATTAGATTCGAATGAAGAATATATATATATATATATTATATATACATATTTTCATAACCAAAATATGTACAGCTAATAACTAATAACGATTTTTAAATATATAAAAATGTATTAAAAACTTTGAACATTTCGATGTTCAAGGAGATCAAGTATAAATATGGGGAGATACATAGCAGATCTGCTATGTATATATATATATATGGTATATGTCACAGCAGTATTAAATTTGAAAATTAGTTGAAGGTTTGAACATATTTTGAGGTTTGAAATATTAAATGCTCTGAAATGTAAGATTTATTTCTCACTTTATCATAGAGAAAGGAACATAACAAAGCTTAGCACTATAGAATGATAATGCTGACCAAATTTTATTACTTGAAAGGATTAAACTTCACATCGTCAACTTACGAAACTTTGATTTAACAGTAATTTTATAGTAAACCAGGTTCTAAACTAAGCAAAAGTTTTTCTATGTTTCATAATTCAATCTAAAAACTATATATAAGTTATTAGGCGATAAAAGTAATGAAATTATTCTGATTTTAATCTCAGTCACAGTTCTAAGGTGTAGGAGTCTTCCAAAGTAGTAAGTTCACCCCTTACTGGAGATAGCTGCAAAGCCAATCGATTTGTGTAATTTCCACACATCTGTCAATTAGTGTTGAAGTAATGCCGTTTATATAGATAAATAAACATAAAATATTACAATATTTTCGTAAAAATATTTATAAACATATACTGAAATGTAAAAGTCAGTGAGTATTTATAAACAGAGGACAAATAATATATGTATATCGTATAGAAATATCAACATTTAGTTCTTTAAGTACAACGTTTTTACTAACATCAAGTTAATAACATTTCTTACAAAAATAAATGAATACATATAAATATAAATACAACAATGTTTTATAAATATAAAAAAATTATTTATATAAAAGCCAGCCCTATGATTTTTTCCGAAACATAAACTAGGTGACAACTATAGATGTCACTATTAAAACAACATTAGTTAGTTCACCGGAAATTCTTATTCATTAAAAACAACAAAAACAGAATACTATTGGTTTATACGAATTTCTATTCTACAACAAATGTAGACACATTTATATATATATATATATATATATATATATATATATTAGAAGTGGATTTACAGATCAATAAGCGCTGCCGGGAATTCTATGTCAGGCTACCAAAGAGCATTACTGCTGTAACTACCTCGTTAACGACGGGGTCCAAATCCAGATATATGTTAATACTGCTGTGCTGACGAAAAGAACAAAAGCTCACCACTATAGCCACCTTGGTGACTATAAAGGAAACAAATCTTCTTGACTGGAAAGGCTGGATCATATTGTTATTAAAATGACAAGTCAAAAAGGTTTATACAGGGAGGTTTAATAGAGGTATGAGTAGTTGCAATATACAAGTAGCCACTGACGTACTCTCTCTTTCAATCAAACACGTTTTATGAATACATATGAATTTCGATTCATCAATCAATATAACAAATATTTTAATAATTTTAAACGTATATCAGGTGATTAAATCTTTTATTTATACATTATTATTATTTTTTAAATAATTAAGGTATTATTAATTTCGTTTCGAAACCAGCCTTAAAACCCAAAACCCAGTTAAATATGATGAAGTTAAAATAATAATAATTAAACAATACAATAACCAATACTTTTGTATTTATTATTAAATTTTATGTTATAAATGTGCTCAGATATGTGAAATATAGTTCTTGAGAATAATATTATTTTTTGAATATTTTTGAATAGTCGCCTTGCAGTATGCAAATTGTGTACAATATTATACGAGAGATCATACTAAAGACTAATTGTCGATTTATAACAAAGGCATTTAGAAAATATATATGTGCAGCTTGATTATAATAGCGTAATGACAAGTGTTCACACTGAAATCAAAAAATAAATTAAGCGTTTTATAATCATTTAAACTTAAAAAACTCACAAATCGATCCATCATTTTATGTTGCTCAGGATTGCAAAGTTTTTCCCTCATTATAAAGACTGTGTCTCGGCAAAGACATTGCGGTTGTTCACAAACTGCATTGAAGAAGAGCATGTGCATCAATAGTAGCAGATAAAGTGATGTTCCCATTAGAATGATTATCGTCGACACGTTGAAACACTGACAGTTGAGTACAACCACAAATAAATAACCAGTGGTGATACCTGATAGAAAATAAGACACCTGCAGTAGGAATATTTCATATTTGCAAATGTTATTTAGATGTTTCACTAAATGCATTAGTTCAGCATGTATAAGGCAAATTGTTTCCATTTGATGTGCTGTCGACCTTCTTGCAAGTTCATAGGTATCCGCTAAAGATATGTTGAGTAGAGAAAGTTGCTTGCAAATATCCCACAATATAATTAGAAAATGAAAAATAACACCATACATCATATTTAGTACACATATGTTGTAAAATAGTAACAACAGAAACATTAGCACTCCTTTATGAATAACGATAGCATTAGATATAATTACGAGTATATTTTGAAAGATGGTTGCGATTATTGTGGCATAAAATAAACAATCCATGTAGTGTACATTGCTTTCCGGACGGATCCAAGACATCATTATACTTTTCTGTTTGGTTTCAAGAAATATTAGCTTATTGACAATATATAGCAGTCGTTTTTCTCGCCATGAACGTAGAGCTATGACACTGGAGTGCAGTATAGTACGCAGAAAAACCATTGCAACATGCATTACTCTGGACGGTGGTATTTTATCATGTATTGAAACTCGTTCTAACGAATCCAACACCATTGTGGGCAGAAGAGATATGGCTAGAACGTTTTGCACGATACAATAATATTTTAGCCATTTTGAGTGGACAAATGTCTTGGTGTTATTATTGTAATACACCGTGGTCAGTCCGGTTACTGTCGAATAGTAATGAAATAAAAATGTGAACACTTTTCCGCGATAGTTCATGGTAATATGGAAGGTTTTATATTTTACTTAATAGTAGCTTAACTATTTTTTTATTCTTATTTGCACTCTTGTATATGTAAACTGTCTGATTATTTATTCCATTGTGGTAGCGGAAAGTAAATATACTTAGAAAAACGTGCTTATTAATTCTTTTTAGTAGTAATTCTATTTATTCGCAAAAAAATTAATAAGATTAAAATACAAAAAAAAAATTGTTAGAAAATAAAAATTAATACTGGTTCGTTAAGTACCTAATCGACTTCATAAGTGTAATATAGTCAAAACTAATTTATTTATTATTTAATTATAACACAAATAAATGCAAATAGTGACAAGATAATTTTAATTCATTTTAGGATATTCTAAAAAATATCTGTGATGAACTTCATGTCACGCAGACACAGATAAGATCAACATTTCAAAAAAAATTAAATGATTTTTTTTTCTGTAAGTATTATATATATTTGTTTACAATGAAATATTGCTTTTTTGCAATGACTCATGCCTCATTTCACTATGTCATTTTCAATGTCAAATATTGTCAGTATAATGAATACGGGTAGTCATATGTTGTCATATACGCATTGTTGTCATGTAATGGAAATGCATTTGACATACCAGTCAATTATAATTGTCATTTAAAATGACATAATGAAAAGAAAGCATTAGAACTTTCATTTCAAATTTATATAGAGTGAAATACATTTTACTTTAGCATGATACATAAAAATACAATATAATATTACATAAATAGATAAAGTATAGTATATAATCATTTCCATCTTCGTTCATGCCTTCAATAAATAATCAAATTGAATGAGAATTATTATATGCATCAAAGTCGTTTCCATTATGGCAAATCCCGCCTGTTTATTGAGATTCAGCATTCCACAAATATTGATTTTGTAGTCATTGACTGCATAACTCATGTAGAATCTTTCACACTAAAAAGAAAAATATATGAAAATTTGATTAGTTGTAATTAGTTGCTTTAAATCATATGGTGTTTAAAATAATTAAATTTTAAAGAAATTGACTTTTCAGGGATCATATATAAACATAAATATATGTATATATAAATACATTTATATAAATCTAAGTATTTTGCAGAATATTTTTTAAGGTGATTACCGGCCATTAAGGCTTTACAGCACGGTTCTCTTAAGTATTTTCATAAGTATTTTTAAACCTACAGGGAAATTTCAAGAAATTCCGCTGGTATCAATTGAAGCTGTACCTATAGATGTAGTTTTTTTTTGGTTTTTTTTTTTTCAAAGAAAACCGCTGCTACATATTGATGCAATAAGGTTGGTTATAGGTTTTTTCTTAGGAGGGAGCGAGTTGTGTCTAATACCTCTTCTGTAATATAGATCATAATATATTCTTGAAGATGTGATTTCACATCAAATGAAAGTATATGAGTGCAGTTTTTTTTATCAGCAAAAATGCGAGTTTCAACCACAGCTATAACGACAATCTTATTCAAGGTTAACCTATGCTAGTCAGGATAGCCGAAGATATGGCACTGACATCTGAAGACACTGAAGCCTCCGATCGGCTACCGCAAGTGAAACTCACTCACTACCCAATAGGCACTTATAATACTTTAAGCAGTATGGGATGTTATCTAGTGTATTTTAGTCGTCTCTTATCACATTCATGCCTCGACCCGGGAATATTCTGACACTACAGTGATCAAAAAAATTTTAATAGAAAATATGCAGATTTTTCGATTCTAACGCTACCTTTTTAGGTTGGTAGTACCGCTACTGACATCTGTGCCAAATTTCAGGTTATTATCCTCGATCATGTTGATGCGTGATGTCTCCGGTGTCGCTTATTAGGTCTTTATAACTTAAACAATCTATTAAGCGACAAGAGTGTTTGTGGAACCATATGAGTATACTTTGGAGAGGGTTGGTATACTTTAAAGGTGGTGCAATAGATTTAGAAGAATTAGTAAAGATTATAAGAATTATAAACACATTAAC